AACTAAAAAATATTGTTTACATGTTTTTTTTTTTAATTCAATGTAAAACTTAATGCTTTGAATCATAAGTTTATTTGTTTTAATTCCAATAAAACTTGCGTATGAATTTCTAGCATGAGTCATTTTTTAAAATAATATTTTGTAGTAATTTCTAATAATATCCCATTTTTTAAGAGACGCTACTCGTAAGAGCAAGAATTATGTTTGTTTGAATTGCGTCGTTTTCATCCTGATTTTGTGGTCCTGCCAATAAAACAGGAACACAAACGTCTTTTATAATTTTTAAAAAAACATCAGTTTTTAGTTTTACTCATAAAAATTCTTACACATGAAAGCTAATATAATCATTGGAAAAAATTCTGTAAAAATATGTTCATTTCCATTATGTTTGTTAATTTTTCATTACTTAATGTTAACAATTAACTGTATTAAATTTTCAATCTTAAAATCAAAATTAATTCATGCAATTGTTAAGCTGATTCGGTATTCGTTCTTTTTTAGTCTAGAACAGGGATGGCGAATCATTGGCACGCGTGCCGTTGATGGCACGTGGCACAATATTTTTGGGCAAGCCACAGATCAAAACGATCAACCGCGATTGATTTTTCAATCAAGGAATTTTCAGTGAGATTTTCTCAGTTCAAAGAATTATCACAAAGGTGCAGGTATATTATTTACCCTGATGAGTGACTGTTTGTGGCTTGGATGCTCTCGGCAAAATTAAATCCTGGTACAGGTTCACACCGTCAGAGCTCAGGTGCCTCCCTCTGGGGAGGAAACTGTGCGTCAAAATTACTTGCGGTAATTGGTATCGCCTATATGGTGCTGCGCCAAAAAGTGATACCAGCTCCTGGGGAGGTCCTCCTTCTTTCCAGCCTGGAAAGGTTAAAATACCTATGCGCAGCCGCATTAGAGAAAAAAATTATATACTCTGATATGACATCATTTGATAACCTGAACTTGCCCCAATTCGATTGGTTGGAAATTGAAGAAATTTGAAATGCAATTGATTGGCTTTCAGTTCAATAGGGACTCAAAAATTTACTGAAACAAACAAACAGTTGGAATTGATTGAAACAGAAAGATTAACAAGCAATATAAGTAACGAAATTTTGGAAACATTAAATTTGATTCCAAACACATTTCACTCTTTGAAGAAGCACGCTCATGCTATTTTTACCATATTTTCAATGACCTATGCCTACGAGTCATTATTTGCAGAGATGAGTAACGTTAAAGACTCACTTGGAAAACATTTGACACATGACTCTAATTCAGCATGCATTCTGCTAAAAGTAACATCTTGCAATCTTAATGTAAGTTATTTGGCATCTAATCGGCTGCAACAGAAGTCACACTAATGTTACTTTAATTTGAATTACACGTATAGCTAAAATATTTACTGCTATACAGCGCAAAATGTATTTTTTAGTAATAAATAGTTTTGTGTTAGTATTTAGTTTTATTATTTTCCCAATAATCACAAGTCAAAATTATTTGACGGCTCATCTATGCCTCACTAAGCAGTTCTTTAGAAAAAATGACACGTTGATCCATAAAGATTCACCACCCCTAATCTAGAACTTTATTATTTATTACTTAAAAACTGTGAACTTTTTTTACGCTATAATTCATTAAAGTATCCGACTACACATTTGAAAGAGCATGATTTTGCAAAAGCGTATAAAATGAATAATTTGTTTTTGGTATTTAGTTTTACTGGAATTAGAATATGCGTGTAAAACTGTTTTAACTCGGCAGGTGAGCACTCGATGCTAATGTTAATGGTCGAGCACGGTGACGGAGTCATCCCAATACTTAACAAATTTTTTTTCATTGTATAAGAGACTTACGCCTCTCTCTCGGGCACCTAGATGTGTGGGGGGAAGGGAAGAAACACTTGACATGATCCAACTAATCTATTTATTTCCACACAAAGAACAGTCACAATTTCAACTAAGAATAGTAAGAAAATGTCTCAATGTTAACCGTGAAAGTGGAAAAATGACGATAAAACGCTAACGATTAGGAGGCTATCAAACTTGATCCTTATCTTAATAAAGGATCAACCCTATCATCCGATTTAATCTAATATCAAATCAATCCTAGAGAACAATCGTCGCTTTAAAGTTTCCTCCTGATAAGAATCAAATCACTATACTTTTAATATTTTACCTTCAGTAGCAATCGCACCTGACTCGAGTATATCTTCTCTCCCTCAAGCTTGAAAACCTCACATATTTATATTAAGTTAATTAAAATATCACGATTCTCTTCTTCCGAAGGGTTGGTTGTGAATAACGCGAATTAATAGCCCAAATATTTCCCAAGAGCATTAATTGGAAAAACGCGTATAGATCTGTCACAATTGCACACTACAAAAATTACATTCCAGTGAATAACTTAATTAAAAGAAAGTATACTTACTCACTTTTAAGGAGTTTCCAATTAATATATATATATATTTTGGATAATTTCGAAAAAAAAGATATTCGAACTGAACTAAGAAATTTTAAATGAGCGTAACTTTAATAAAGGGTACAAATCACAGACACTTTTCGCTAACATTGCAGGAATGTTATTTGCAGGCAAAATTCTCATTATGTTCAAGTTATTGTAGTTTTATTGTTCTTTGATCGACCACACACACACACACACAATAGCCTACTGAACTTTTTCTTGCTGGTGTCTTTTTGACAGGGCGAAGTGTGCCTTGTGGTACATTTATGGCTTCATCTTTTTTCTCCATAGAGTTCTTTAAGAAGCACTTGAAAATTTTCCTTTCAACTCAGACTTCCTATGCCTATTGCTTTTTTCAAATTTACTTTCCCTATCATGATAAAAATGCATTTTCAGTTTCAACTTCGTTCAATACAGATAACAGATACTAATTTCTTTTTTATATTCTGCTCATTTACATTTATAAACCATAATAAGTCGTACAATACAACAATCAAAACCATTAAGTTGTTCATAGGGAGAAATTGTAGACAGTTCATAGAAAATGTTTTGAAACAAAAGTGATTGAGTGGAGAATTAAGTCAAGACAAGTACCTTAAGATTGTAAAAAAATGTCTGCTACTCCCAAAAAAGACGGAGGTATATGACAAATACATTTTAGTTCCCATGGAGATTGTCCTATAGGAGGATATGACAAGGTCATTGATAACAATTAAGGATGTGGTGCTCAAAAAATCAAAAAAAAATTCTTTTTTTTCTTTCATAAATTGCTTCCTTAACATGTCCAGAATACTGTAGTGGTTATTTTTTAAAATTAGAAGTCGTTATAAAGAAGCAGATCTTAGAAGAGCAGCTGTTCGTAGCGCTAAGTTAAGATTTTCGTTGTTTTAATCGCACTTTAAACTTGAAACACGTTTTTCTCAAAACTGTGTCTTACAAACTTTCCTCCATTATATCTCAAGAACGGTTTGATCGAATGACTTCAAATTTATAACGTAGACAACGCCACAAATATATAAACCAAATGAACTACGATCATTCTAAAATTCAAAGTATTTCTATTTTTTATAACAAAAACATAACAAAAAACCCCCATGAAATTCGAAACCTTTTCTTCGGAGGTACCAAAAATCCAATTTTTGACATTTTTAATTGAGTATACATCATTCGGTGCATTTAAGCTTATAGATTAAAAATCCGTTATTTTTTATTTTTATTTTGGAGAAGCCAATCAGCCGGAATCGCAGAGGAAGTGAGCGCCCATGGCCCATCTTTTCGAGGTGGGTGTGTTCAGAACGATATAACTCACGTTCTATTGGATATTTTTGGCTAAATATTTATATACATACTCTTAAAATACATGTAAATAAATAATGAAAAACTTAAAGTTCTATCTTTTTAATGGTCGTGAAAAATAAAAATTCCCTAAGAATGCTTAAAAAACAGTCCATCGCATGGGTGAACTCCCTTAAAAAGTTTTCCCAGAATTAACAATTTCATGAGCATGGGAGAAACTCTGTGCCCCGTGCGACCGCTCCCAGGTTAAGAATGTTATTAAAAGAAAAAATTATTTAAATTATAATTTTTTTTTTTGCAAAAAATGAAGAAAGAATGACACATTTTCAAAATTCACTTTTAATGAAATATGCTTCTGTAATTTAATAATAATATTTTGCCTATATATGCAGCTTAGACTTCACTATCAAACATGATGTAAAGTTTTTCAAATACACAATTTAGAAGTGGGTTTATTCATATTTGAATATATTTTTGAGCGTAGAGAAATTTCAACAAAAAACTCCAGATATTAGTTCAATTCATTGTAACCCTGAAAACGATGTGAATTTTTTTAAAACTCCTCTACCTCAGGCTCTTTAGAAAAGCCATAGCCCTATATAGTCAAAATATTATTTCTATAAAAGCATTTTTCACAAATAGAGTTTTGAAAATCTCCTAATTTCTTCATTTTTTGATAAAAAAAAATTACCTTTTTAAATAATTTTTTTCTTGTAATAATATTCTTAAGAGGATTTTATGTGTATATTTTAATTCAACAGACTCTAAATATCTAAAACGTATTTCATGTATAGGCTTTTTCCTAAGTCATTGTTCCGAAAGATGCCTGAAAAGGCCTCAAGTAGCTGAATAATGCGACGTTCATATTCTTTCACTCCGAAAACGTGACCAGTCACTTTAAAATCGAAAAAAGTAATTTCTAAGCATGTTTTTCACTATTCCCACTATTAGTTCACTCTTATATACAAATATATATGGGTTCTAGTTATTCTCTCTTCACTTTTATTTTATTGTACTCTATATATATACATATATATATTCTTCAAATTTTCAATTGTTGGTAAAATACTTTCTATTCATCCGTTCAAGTTCACATGCATTTTTTTAAACTTGTAGTGGATGATACTTGATGTTAATACAGTTTTTTCAAACATTAATTCATTAAATAAATCAAAAATGAATAAATAGTAAAAAGCAAAAATAGTAGCCCAACAGCATATATAGAAAGGAAAATTGTTCGCTGTGTCCTTGTAGTGCCAAGGACAGCACGTTGGACTTCTAATCCAAAGGTTGTGGGTTCGAATCCTACCAGGGATGGTTTGATTTCTGAGAATGTGATTTTTTTTACTATACTATTTTATTGGAATAATTAAATTAAATGGATGAATAAATAGTAACTAACAAACAAATCAAAATAGTCCAACACTCTATATAGAATGGAAAATTGCAAGGAAAATCGCTTTCTATTTTGCCGCTAAATAATATGATTCTTTTATATGTATGTACATATTTATATTTGTAACTATTTAATAAAAAGTAACTAAAATAAAATGTTTCTTTGTTGACCTAAGTAGGAATTGACTTAAAATTTTTTTTTATACTACTTGTATCCATTTTATTTAAGAATTACAAGGTATTCAGAGGTATTCTTACATATGTTAGCTCCTGATACAAAAGAATAATGCTCTACGAATAAAATACTGATCATTCACTACTTCTCCCCCTTGTTGAAAATCTTTCTCAGAACAGTCCCCTGTTCATTTTTCCAAATCCGGATCACTCGAAACGATTTCTCCGTCACCCCTAACTTTCGAGTCACCCACATCACTTCACATACGACCCCCCTCCCTCAGAAATCGTCTGCGAAGTAGACAGCGAGACAGAGGGACAAGCACCGTCCTCCCCCTTCTCCATGCGGCCCAAAATCATTTAACAGCACTTAGCCACCGCAACTCTCCTTTCTCGGATTGGAAACTTCTCCTGCTCTCCGGAAAAGGACAGGGAAAAAATGTCATTCCTCTTGTTCTCTTTTTTCCCTCTACCCCCTTTAACTCCCCTACTCCTATTTTCTTTTTGTACTCTCCTCCGGTTGCGGAGGAGCGTGTTGGAAGAGAAAACACTGCATCACTGCGCATGTTCTTGGACTGGGTCAACTTTGTAGTTATAGCTTTTCTGTTAGAATTGACCATACTATCGTTTTTTAATACGCTTTTATAAGTTTCATTTGTATATAATGGAGTCTTTGAACTCGATTTTTATCCACTTAATAAGGTCAGAGTAATTCGAAATTTTACACACTTGTCAAGGACCGATAACAATACAATAATTTCATAATTTTGTTCCATTGTCATGATCAGGATAATTAAGGATACGATTTATAGATTTGGAGACTAAGTTTTCCACTTCCAGATCTGGCGACTTATTGCATAAACCATTTTCAGATATGACAACTAATTCCAGATTTATAGCGACTAAAAGATTAAGGTGCAATCCTAAAACCACAAATAGGCTTGTGGTTAATACAAACAAAACAAAAGAAAGTGTTCTTTATGTGAAAATGGATAGGAAATAAAAAAAAAAAGACCCGTGCATGTGAATAAAAATAATTTATGTTCTAACTGCTAAATATATTTTTATTTTGATAAAGCAATACGTTTTGAAGTGATGATACGAATGAACATTATAGCAATACGTTTAAAAGGTGATATGATTGACATTTAATATTAATACATTTTTATTATTTAGACATGTAACTACAGTGACGGAATCTTTGAAATATAACGTATGAGACTCATTCGAGGCCCCGTAAACGGAGATAATAAATTCCCTTCAGACTTATTAATTAATATCCATTGAGAGCCAGACTAATTCCAGCAGCCACGTAAATCTGGCTCCAAATATCAAACTCAAGGATAAATTCAACAAACAATACATGATAGTTTTAAAAACTAAAAAAAAGGGCTTTAATTGTAGATCGAAATAAAAAAAATGAAGAATATAAATTACAGTTTTAAAAAATCTAAAAACCATGCTTTTATAGTGTGAATCGAACTAAAAAGTAAAAAAATAATTCTTAATATATGAATAAAATGATTAACGAGAAAATTATAATGTCAATGAGGTAAAAGCGTGGGGTGCTTTGTGCTACATTTTTACACTAACTCAGCATTTCGGAATAGAATTGGTAAGAAATTATAACAATTAATATAGAGCACCCCACGCTTTTACCTCATTGACATTAATTTTCTCGTTAATCATTTTATTCTTATATTAAGAATTATTTTGCTTACTTTTTAGTTCGATTCACTATAAAAGCGTGTTTTTTAGTTTTATAATTCATTTCAGGATGAGGTACTAAAATATGTTTAATTTTCCATCAAGTCGATTCTCTAAATCTGTTGCTGATGGGGGGAGTGTATACCTTTTTCCCCATTAAGAAATAATTTCCGAATAAAACGAAAATGAACTTGTGTGGTACCACATCCTCATGATACTTCACCAGTGGCGTAACGGAGAACACTTGGGCCCCCTGCAAAGTCAGGTTTTGGACCCCCCCCAAGTTGGATTTTACAAAGGGTAGGTACTTGGCGATAGTCAGGCTGTGGGCTGTCTAGAGCCCTGCCCCCCCGCAATGCGGGGGTTGCGGGGTTGTACGTTACGCCACTGCACTTCACGCTCTTACGTTAGTCAATTCAAATTCCCCATCACTAATTTGCATGTTTTCATAATCCATTTTGGATCGGAAAATTAGTGCATGTATATGCTGAATGAACCAAAGAGATAGAAATCCGTGCAAGGCTTGTATTCACAAACTGTACAGATGAACAAAGCTTGGCGAACTATTGCTGAGTGAGATCTCATATATCACTTAATACACTCATGTCAAAAAATTAAGTTCACAAACATAAAATCAGTGGAAATTGATGAAGTATTTACGGTATTGCCCCAAAATTTGGTACAGAGACGTATTAAAATGTCAGAAAGAATATAGCAATATAACAATACGGAAAAGATTTTAATTGTGAATTAAGATACGTCATAAAAAAGTGAAATCATGAATCAGAGCTAAAACAATTAACTCGAGAAAAGCCTGTCTAATATGGAGTATGACCACTGTGAGCTGCTATAGAAGCCTCACAACGAGCTGCCATACTGTTTATGTGAATATGAATATGTATTTGAGGCAACAAACCCCGTTTTTCCAAAAACGGGACTTTTAATTCCTAGAAGGGGGTCCTGGGAGGGGAGCTACCCAGAGAAATGGCTTTTTCTAGCTAGACCATTCCAAACATGTTCAATAGAATTGTGATCCAGAGACTTCGAGGATCAATCTGTACGGAAAATATCACTCCTTCATGAAATTCAACACTGAGTTCTCTCTGAGTGACCTCGCATTATCGTCCATAAAAATGTAGTGCAGGCCCATAGCCTCCAATAAAACTTCATATAGGCTTCCAGCATCTGATCCCTATAGCACTGTGAGTTGACAAGACACTCATCGAAAACGTACAGTGGCTTACAGCTGCCCAACAATATGCCACCTCACACAAAAATTCCTTTGCCACCAAATCTGTGGATTTTCGTTACACAGGAGGGAGGAAAGCTAACTCCATTTTCTCTACAGATAAAAACTCGACAAAAATCACTTTGTATGGGGAATTTTGCCGCATCACTGAAAAGAACATGCCTCCATTCTTGTGGTGCCTACAAGTGATGTTTTCAGCTCACTAATAACAAATGTTTCCTGCTGGATGCAGTCAAAGGAATGTGCAAGACTGAACACCGGGACTAAAGTCCAGTATCTACAAGGCGGCTGTAGACTGTTTGTCTGGAAATTCTTCTCCCAGAGACAGCAGCAAGGTCACGAGCAAGAAGAGGAACCTTTACCCACCTATGTCGTCACGGTTCAATGGTTCTCCATCTCAAGGAATCATCTAAACCAGAGGTCGGCAACGCAGCGCCCGCGGGCGCCACTGCGCCCTTCAATAAATTTTAGTGCACCCTTAAACTATTGTTAATTTAGACCAGAAATTCAAAACGTAAATTTTAAAATTCCTAGAATCAACTGTATGTCAACGGTGACGCGCTGAACTGAAATGATCTGAGCAATCATGTGAGTACACAAGAGAGCATAGATCCAGAGAGTTTGTCACAGGTTTATGCCGTCCCTATTATGGACTCATCGAAAAGAAAACGCACTCATTATTTCAATGCCGAGTGGGAAGAAGAGTTTTTTTTCATCGAATACAACGGTAAATGCGTATGTTTACTACGTAATAAGAGCGTTGCGTTGCTTAAAAAAAGTAACATAGAAAGACATTTTAAGAGTTTACATGGCAAATTTAATTCTGAGTATCCATTGAAATCAGAACTAAGTAAAAGGAAAATGCTATCCTTAAAATCGTCAATTACAAAGCAACAAAGTATTTGTACAAAACCCAGACAACAATCGAAAGCAGCAACCGTAGCATCGATTAAAGTTGCACATTTACTGGCAAAGAAGAAAAACCTCTTATTGACGCGGAAATAATGCAAGAAGCTATGCTAGTAGCAGCTAATTCTCTTTTTGACCACTTCAAAAACAAGACGGAAATATTGGGAGCTATTAACATGTTACAATTATCAGCTAGAACCGCAACAAGAAGAATCGAATTAATAGAAAGCAATTTGGAAGCAAAATTAGCAAATGACGTGGAGACCTGTGAATTTTTTTCAATACAACTGGATGAATCAATTGATGCAGTCGATACAGCACAATTGGCAATATCCGTTAAAATGGTGTTTGATGACTTCTTTACAAAAGAAGAATTTTTGACAATTCTTCCGTTAACAGCACGTACCCAAGGAAAGGACATATTTTCATTGTTCAAAAAGTTTGCAATTGAAAATAAATTACCATTAAAAAAATTATCATCAATTGCTACGGATTGTGCACGAGCAATGACTGGTAAGGAAAACGGTTTTATTGGTTTACGTAGAAAAGATCCTTTATTTCCTAAATTTATTGCGTACCATTGTCTTATTCACCAAGAAATGTTATTTGCAAAAACAATTAATTTTAATCATATGTCAATTGTTACCAAAATTATTAATTCGATTAAAGCTAAAGCGACACAACATAGGTTGTTCAAATTATTTTTAGAGAACGAAAACACTGAGTTTAAAGACTTCTTCATACTGAAGTGAGGTGGCTCACTCGCAGTAAAGTTCTTGAACGCTTCATTAACCTTTTACCTCAAGTAAAAGAATTTGTTGCTTCGAGAAACGAGGTTTACGAAGAATTGGAAAGTAAAAATTGGTGGTTGGATCTTGGATTT